GGTCCTGGTCTGGCATCTAGACGAATCACTTGTCGAGCGCCGTAACGTAGCTTTCCCTGTGTCTTTTCATTAAATAGTTTCATGGTAAATGTTCTGATGAACTTTGCCCTATGGTACCTATGGAATTTAAGCCCGGTGTGAGACAAGGTTTAGATTTAGATAGATAGATTTAAGCGTGTGTGTGAATATTTGCGACACGCATACACACACAATATAGATAGATAGAGAGTGATAGGGGATAATAGATATATACATAATGAACAGACAGAAATAGATAAAAAACGATAGATAATGTATTAATGTGTGTGTCAAGACTAACACCATCAATATTGCTTTGCTCCTCTTACACACACACACACACATATATATATATATATATATATATATATATATAGAGAGTGTGTGAGTGGGGATAGGTAGATAGATATATAGATAGATAATGAACAGACTGAGATAGATAGATAAGAATAGATAGATAGATAGATAGATAATGAACAGACAGAGATAGTAAAAAAACGAGAAGATAGATAATGTATTAATGTGTGTGTCAAGACTAACACCATCAATATATTGATTGCCCCCTTATACAAACACCCACATGCATATATATATATATATAGTCAGAGAGAGTGAAGGATAGGTAAACAGATAGATAATGAACAGACTCAGTAAAAGAATGAGAAGTCAGTTACATAGATAGATAGATAGATAATGAACAGACTGAGATAGATAGATAGATAGATAGATAGATAGATAGATAGATAGATAGATAGATAATGAACAGACTGAGTAAAAGATTGAGAAGTCAGATAGATAGATAGATAGATAGATAGATAGATAGATAGATGTATTAATGTGAGTTATGTTTATGTGAAGATATGTCAATATCTTTTTTTATCCCAAATTCAACCTTATCATTCTTTACACTAGTGCTACTAACACGCTTAGTACTATTGTTATCGTTACTAAACAGTTCTGAAAAGAAAAACGAGTAGATTCATTAAATTTCAATTTTTTCTGATTTTATTAAATGCCTGTTATTATCTTTTGATGTCCGCTTCGGCTTCCTTGAATGCGAAATTTACATTTATAAAAGGAACATTTTTTTTTTACTTGAAATATGCTATTATTATCGTTTTTTGATTCTTTATTAATATTTAATTTGTTCATATTTACAGATTAGAATCCTCTTCTTCTGCATTACTTTCATGATATTTTCTTTTTTGCTTTCCCCCCTCCTTGCCAACCCTTCGCTATATTATTCCTTATCTTTTTTGATTTAAAACTTTATTCTTGTCATCATTCATTGGGGCTTCCTTTCTTTTTTATTCCTTTTTGTTTAATCAACATTTTATTTACTCGCTTCTGTCTTTCATGTTTTACGTTTACAGTCTTATTTTTTCATCTTTTCATCGCTTTATTTTGCAGACGATCATCTTTCTTTTCTTTCCTTTTCTTCTTTTCAGTGCTTTTATTTTCCTTCTTTTTTTCTTTCATATTTTTGTGTGCGGTCTTTCTTGTTTTCTTTCCTTTTCATCCTTTCTTTCTTTTAAATTTTCCTTCACCTTTTTCCTTCCATATTCTTGCGTGCGATCTTTCTTGTTGTCTTTCTTTCTTTTTCTTTCTTTCTTTCTTTCTTTATTTCATTCATTCTTTCTTTCTTTCTTTTCATTTTTGCTCTTCCTTTTTCCTTTCATATTTTTCTGTGCCATCATTCTTTTTTCTTTCCTTTTCTTCTTTTCTTTCTTTTAAAATTTTCTTCACCTTTTTCCTTCCATATTCTTGCGTGCGATCTTTCTTTTTGTCTTTCTTTCTTTTTTTCTTTCTTTCTTTCTTTCTTTCTTTCTGTCTTTCTTTCTTTCTTTCATTCTTTCTTTTCATTTTTCCTCCTCCTTTTTCTTTTCATATTTTTCTGTGCCATCATTCTTTTTTCTTTCCTTTTCTTCTTTTCTTTCTTTTAAAATTTTCTTCACCTTTTTCCTTCCATATTCTTGCGTGCGATCTTTCTTTTTGTCTTTCTTTCTTTTTTTCTTTCTTTCTTTCTGTCTTTTCTTTCTTTCATTCTTTTTTTCATTTTTCCTCCTCCTTTTTCCTTTCATATTTTTCTGTGCCATCATTCTTTTTTCTTTCCTTTTCTTCTTTTTCTTTCTTTTAAAATTTTCTTCACCTTTTCCTTCCCATATTCTTGCGTGCGATCTTTCTTTTTGTCTTTTTCTTTTCTTTTCTTTCTTTCTTTCTTTCTTTCTTTCTTTTCTTTTTTTTCATTTTCCTCCTCCTTTTTCCTTTCATATTTTTCTGTGCCATCATTCTTTTTTCTTTCCTTTTCTTCTTTTCTTTCTTTTAAAATTTTCTTCACCATTTTCCTTCCATATTCTTGCGTGCGATCTTTCTTGTTGTCTTTCTTTCTTTCTTTCTTTCTTTCTTTCTTTTTTTCATTTTTCCTCCTCCTTTTTCCTTTCATATTTTTCCGTGCCATCATTCTTTTTTCTTTCCTTTTCTTCTTTTCTTTCTTTTAAAATTTTCTTCACCATTTTCCTTCCATATTCTTGCGTGCGATCTTTCTTGTTGTCTTTCTTTCTTTTTTTTTCTTTCTTTCTTTCTTTCTTTCTTTCTTTCATTCTTTTCATTTTCCTCCTCCTTTTTCCTTTCATATTTTTCCGTGCCATCATTCTTTTTTCTTTCCTTTTTTCTTTTCTTTCTTTTAAAATTTTCTTCACCTTTTTCCTTCCATATTTTCGCGTTCGATTTTTCTTGTTTTTTTCTTTTCTTTCTTTCTTTTTCTTTCTTTCTTTCTTTCTTTCTTTCATTTATTCTTTCTTTCTTTCTTTCTTTCTTTTCTTTCTTCCTTTCTTTCTTTTCATTTTCCTCCTCCTTTTTCCTTTTATATTTTTCCGTGACATCATTCTTTTTTCTTTCCTTTTCTTCCTTTCTTTGTTTTTATTTTTCCTTCCCTTTTCTTTTTTTTACAATTCCTTTCATTTTTTTTCTTATTTCTCCTGTTCTACTCTTCTTGTTTCCTTCTTTCTTAGTCATTATTTGTCTTTTATTTACCTTTTTTTTCCCTCAGCTCATATTTCACCTGTTAATTCTTTAGTACAGATGTATTTTCTCCCATTCCAGTTGTCTTCGTTTCGTACCTCTTTTCACTTGTTGCCATTTTTTTATTTGATTTTTTTTTTTTGGCTATTTTTCTTGATTCCTTCTCCGATTTCACTTGTTCCTTCATCGTCTTACCTTTTTTATTCTTTCATCGTAATGATTAGATTTTCGTCAATATGTATTTTCTCTTTTTGTCTATTTATCTTCGTAAAAACATTTATTCACCTTTTTTTTTTTTGTTTATTCGAGATAATGTTTGGAAGGTAGCTGTTATTTCAATTTCTATGCATATTTATTTCTGTTTTTCTCTTGTCTTTCACACAGGAATTTCTAACGTAAAACAATCGAATTAATAATGTATGATTTATGAGTTAGACACAACATTTGGCCTATCGCCCAGTTCACTCTCTTCCCCGGTATTTTGAACTGAAGCAACGGCTTATTCTTTTTTCTTCTCTATAGGATTGGGTTTTCAGTTCCTCTTATAACCTTCTCATTCGCTTTCACCCTCTTTAGCCCAGTTGTATCTTAGTGGCAATATCGCCTTGCTTGGGGTGAATTCATTTCAAAATATACTTTGCTTATCTATTTGATAGGCATGTATTTCCTTATGATCCAAGGTCTCTGATCAGATTTTTAGATAGCGTTTGTATGTATGTTTTAGATTAAACAGACTGTTTTTTTTTATGAAAGTGGATAAAGATATTATCCTCTTTACACTACTTACATTGTTCAGAATGTTGCCCGCATCTTTATTGTCACATTCACGACGTTTCGAACGTTGTACGCTCTGGCCTTCTTCAGGTAATTTTTTTTTTTTTTTTTTTTGAGAGTGGGGATTTCTTTACCGTCTCGGCCACGGATTAGCCTCGCCGATAAAAACAAAAATCTTTTTCGTATTAGATTCCTTGACTTTTTTCATAACTTCTCTGTTTCGTATCCAAACGTAAAGAAAATAATTTTATAAGGTAAAGGATTTATGTATTATTTTACACCACGTTAGACGTTTGATGGGAGAGATTGCTACTGTTGGATTGATAAATAAGTATTACCTTGGATATTCCTTCAATTCCTTCCTTCATTTCTTCATTCCTTCCTTCTTTATATACCTTCCTTCTTTCCTTCCTCTTATTCCTCCATTCATTCCTTTCTTCTATTCATTCTTAACTTTCTTCTTTCCATGCCTTTTTTCTGTTTTTCCATTCCTTGTTTTCTTCCTTAGATTCACTACTTCCTTCCATTCTTTTTTCCTTCCATTCCTTTCTTCCTTTCATTACTTTATTGCATTCCTTCCTTTTTTCCTTCCTTCCATCCTTCCTTAAATTCATTCCTTCTTTCTTTCCTTACTATCCGTCCTTCCTTCCTTCCATTCATTTATACCTTCCTTTCATTCCTTCCTTTCATTCCTTCCTTTTCCTTCCATTCTTCCTTCCTCCCGTTCATTTGTACATCCCGTTCATTCATTCCTTCATTCATTCTTTCCTTTAATTCATTCCTTCATCCCTTCCTTCCTTCTTTCCATTCATTTATATCTTCCTTTCATTCATCCCTTCCTTCCTTCCTTCCTTCCTTCCTTCCTTCCTTCCTTCCTTTTCTCTATTGTTTTCTCCCTTCCTCATATATATTTCCTTCCATCCTTTCCTTCCATTCATTTATAATTTCCTTTCATTCATTCCTTCCTCTCATTCCTTCTTTCCTTCCTTCCATTCCTTCCTTCCTTCTTTCCTTCCATTCTTCCTTCCTTCCATTCATTTATACCTTCCTTTTATACATTCCTTCCTTTCATTCCTTCTTTATTTCTTTTCATTCCTTCCATCCTTCCTTCCTTCCGTTCATTCATTCCTTCCTTCCTTAAATTCATTCCTTCCTTGTTTCCTTCCATTCCTTCCTTCCATTCATTTATGACTTCCTTTCATTCATTCATCCCTTCCTTCCTTCCTTCTTTCCTTCCTTCCTTCTTTCCTTCCTTCCTTCCTTCCTTCCTTCTTTCCTTCCTTCCTTCCTTCCTTCCTTCCATGCCTTTTCTCTATTGTTTTCTCCCTTCCTCATATATATTTCCTTACATCCTTTCCTTCCATTCATTTATACTTTCCTTTCATTCATTCATTCCTTCCTTCCTTCCTTCCTTCCTTCCTTCTTTCTTTCCTTCAATTCTTCCTTCCTTCCATTCATTTATACCTTCCTTCCTTACACTCCTTCCTTCCTTCTTTCCTTCCATTCTTCCTTCCATCCATTCATTTATACCTTCCTTTCATTCCTTCCTTCCTTACATTCCTTCCTTCTTTCCTTCCATTATTCCTTCCTTCCATTCATTTATACCTTCCTTTCATTCATTCCTTCCTTTCATTCCTTCCTTCCTTACATTCCTTCCTTTCTTCTGTTCATCTATACATTCCTTTCATTCATTCCCTCATTCATTCCTTCCTTTCATTCCTTGTTTTCATTCCTTTCTTCCTTCCTTCCTTACATTCATTTCTTCTTTTAGTGAGTACATGGACAAACCCTCTCTGATGACAACCTTATCTGCCTTTTTTATACTTCATTCTCATGTCCCTTGGTGAACATGCCTGTCATGAATTCCTATATCTGGTAACACTATGTCCTATTTGACTCTCTAATATATCTCCCTTTTCATAGTCTAACATCCATTTACGCTCGCCTGTTAGTTATGCTTCCCAACGACCCTCTTGCCTTCCGTTTCTCCTCTGAGATTCCAACTCCTCCTGATTTGTCCTAGAAACTTCATCTGTCTCTTAAAAAGTAGATTTTCTTTCCCATTTACTATAAACCCCACCCCATTATTCTGCTTATCATATTCTCAGCATCCTTCTGTAGAACCATTCTCTATTGCTTCAATATTCCAGAATCCACTGTCATATAGCAGGATTGAAAATACGTAACAGTTGAACAATTTTGAACATTTATCTTATTTGTAAGTATTTTTCCTGCTTTTTCATAATGTGCTTATTTCCCGATTGTTTTATGGCATATCAACACCTCAATGGGTTATTCAATACCAACAAGATTTTTTTTTCTGATATTTTCTATTTTTTTCAAAAAATGAATTGCTGGCAATATTTTTTCCAAAAATGTATTACTGGTATTAAAACCTATTTTTACACCTTCATAACGCTTTGACCCCAGTTTGTGGGTTAACTATTTGCCCATAACAGGTGCTACCACCCTATTGCACCCTAACAGGTGCTACCACCCTGGGTCAGGGTGGACCTAGGAACAGCACCAATTCAGAGACGCTTTCACGCTTTTAAAAACCTCCGGATCAGAGTCTTTGCTGCCGAATGTAGTTTATCGTCATACCAGGACACGGATGTAATTTATCATCATCTCCAGGACGCTTTATTGGTGGAGGAGTCTTACTCATCCGCAGAGCTACATTCGGCGTATTATTAAGCCCCATCGGACAGGGCGGCTTATTTTTCTGAAAATCATCTTTGGTTATTTCAAAACGTCTTCGGATTTCGGTGTCAACTACCTGATACTTCTAAAATCCTAGGTATTAGTCGAATGGAATTTGTGATATTTGTGTATGTACGGACTTGAGAATGTGTGCTCGTATGCGTGCGTTTTCGGGTGTTTGCGTTTGAGTGTTTGTGTGTGTGTTTGTATATGAATGCGCAGGTTAGGGTGACTGTGAATTTGCGTATGTTTATGTGCTTGTGTGCGTGCTCGCGTATGTGTGTGTATGCACGCCTGCGTGAGCGACTTCCTGGATGCATTGATTTTATGCAATTGATTTTTGTTCCGAGTTGAAATAATTTCCTCTCAAATTCGACAAGGTCCTCCTGACACAAAAAACAAAAAACGAAGCATCGCCCTGTTTGCACATATCGGGCACTACAATCGTATACTAGAAAAATATAACGGTCACGAAAAAATCGTTAATACTAATGAAGTCAAACGTCCGTACGAATCAGACTTGGCATGTCGTATGTATAATTAACGTTAATCAATGGAATAAAAGCATTGGCAGGGGGGGTGTTTATTGAAAAAAACTAGAAATATGTTGCGATTTTTTTAAATCATTTCACTGAAGCAAAAATAAAGCCACTAAGATGCAAGGGATTATTGAAAGCAAGCTGTTCGTCTTAAGGTCCACGACAAAATCCAGAGACGGATATGCAATGTGAATGGCCCTGATCTGTCATCTCGTTTACATTCGTTCTCTTACTGTCGCTTCTCTCTGTCTTTTCTATTAGGTTGGTGCAAAAATAATGACGTAATAATGTAATTTTTTGACGTATTTTTTAACGTCAAAAAACGACATTCTTACGTCATTATTTTTGCACCAACCTAATACAAATATTTTCACGGTGACTGCCCCGACGAACTATTTTCACTAATTCCCAAACTGCACGAATTTAAACGTGCCACTAGGTCGGCATCTCAGTCACACCCTTTTACTGTCGAAACGATTAAATGTAGCCGTCTCTTCTACTCCAACAGCTCCATGTCTCGCAACTTCTGTCTGTGAAATTCTTACTTGCTTCCCTGACAGCTATAATCTTCAATATTCAAATGCAATGTCAATCTACAACTCCAGATGTCTTGATCTATTCCCCGTCCTTCTCTTCATCCTTTCCTCTATCACGCCTCTTTAATCTTACTCCGACTTGCGTGCTAGTGGCACTCCTGCCTTGCATGGGATGAAACGCTTAAAAAAAGGCGAAATTGAGAAAATGTTTAGCAGGGAATTAGAGACAGAACATGACGATTGATGTTGAATCTAAATTTTTGAAAATCTTACTTGACAGAAAAGCCCCATTCGTTTATCTTTAAAAAAAAAAGGGGGGGGAGATTCTCTGGTATGTGTGACATGCCAAGAACCATTCACCATAAAACACATCCTGACAATCTACCGCAATTTTAATTCAACCGGCTTAAATTACTAGTAAACAAGAAACTTAAAAGTGTTTTTCAAAATATGAATTCATCAAACATATTGTTATATAGGAATAAAGTGTCGCTGCCGACACTTGAGATTGAACATAGATCGCCAGTGAGCAAACACAAGCGATCCCATTATTGAATTAAGTGGACCACGTGACCATAGAGGAAATGCATATATGGGAAGTAGCTCCACGTCTAAACGATCGCTATGTCTAGTCTATCCTCTATACTATACGGATCTCTATTTCTATTCTATCCTCTATTTCTATATGGACTGCTATTCTCTACTCTATTTACTAAACTATTTCTCTGTTCGGATTACTATTCTGTGGTTACTTTTTGAGCAAATATTATCGAACAAGTACTATTAGTGCGAGTGATATTCGAAAGCGCCTGACACCATCGGCTCACAACTAATCGTTAATTATTCATGATGCCGACATTTTAAAAGAGCATTAAAATTATCCACATTTTAGTAAGCAATGCGTTGGTTTCGTAAATCTTATTCTTTACCTTTTATTCTGGATTATTAATGTATATAGTAGTTTAACTAAAGCGTGTGGGGTTCAGTGTACCCGGATTAAAGGAGAATTTAATACGGGATACCCTGCCCACAAAATGCAACGCAAATTTCAAGAATGAACAACACGATAAGGAATGTTTATAGAAAATAGAACATTGTATATTTATTATCTTGTGAATAGGGTAAAAAAGATTAATGCTTTAGTTCGTTTAAGCAAAAATGTGATTTTTTACAAAAATGTCTGTGTTCGCTGTCTTTCAACAGAGTAGCAGAGTAATGTGTTTCTTTTGTTTTTTGTATAGTTGCAAATGAAAAAGGGGCGAGCAATTTAAGTTGAAAAAGAGAGCGTGAATGAGGAATAAAGATAAAAGGAAAATGTACTTATGAATTGTTTTGGAGTCAGTTGTAAATGTGTTGTTGTTGTTGTTTTTTCCTAATCTACTTTCGGCTCTTAGTTTCGGGTTGAGTCAGTGATGAGTTTTACAGTCAGTCTTCTGTGATCTCTGCGCCCTTCTGACTGGCGACTGACTTGAAACTCTGTATTTATTGTTGACTTTTTTTCACACTGGCTCGTTATCTTTTTTTTTTTTTTTTTTGGTTTAGCAAATCGCCTTCTTTCATTGGTCAGAAAATTAATTTCACACCTTATTGCGAAATCTGTTTTTAATCGTTTTGATCCGATTTTGCGGGTGTGCAAATCTACTTTGTGTTTTTTATTCACTTGTTGGAATGATATAGGATTTGTATCCTATAAGCGTAAAATTCATTGATTCTTTTTCTTTTTTTCATGTCTAAATTTTAACCGCTAGTTTCATTCACGAAATCTTTAGGCGTTACTTTTATTCATAAAACCCGTAATCGCAATCTGAATTCATAAGAAAACTTCAGGCTCTATTTTTTGTTCATAAAAATCTTTAAGCACTATTTTTGTTCATAGGATATAAAGCGTTATTTCCATTCATAAATCTTTCTAGAGCTATTTTCATTCATAAAAATTGCCGGTTCATTCATTAAAACCTAGAATGGGCGATGAAAGTTTTTTTTTTTCTTTTTCTTTGAGAAATAGTAAAATATATGCCTTTTAGGTACGTCCATGAAGTTAATATTGCGATAAGGTTTCAAGTCGAACTTCGGCGCTAATTAAATAATCAACAGTTTGTTTTATTGTGCATATTATATTATCTTTAAATATACTCATGTTATATCTCCATGGGCAATTTAATATTTTCTCACCCCTGACATGGTTTTAGTTGTTTCGATATCATATCTCATTATTAAATTGAATTTCTTCTTTTTTTTTTATTTCTTCATCTATTTATCGCCTTTTTTAGTCAAGATAATCAGATGGTTTGAAAATTATTAGCAACTAAAGAGGCTTTATGTATAAGATATAAAAAAAATAAACATGCAACGGTGTTTGTATTCCCATATTTGAATCCATGAAAATATGCTTCAGATGGTGACACCTTACCAATTTGTCTACGAAAGCTAACCAACAGTCATCAGTAAAAAAGAAATATAATAACCAAGCTTAAAAAACGATTTTCTTTCTTTTTTTTTTCTTACAGTGGGGTACATTCTTTACACCCGCCGAGTCCACTTGAGGTAGAGGGTTACATTTGGAAGCCATTTGTGTGTATAGTAGTAGAAAACAACGGTTTACCCAAGCCTTGAACAGGTTAAGATTGTAGTAATCGGGGAAGCATCCTGTTGGGAGTCAGTATGTTTTAGATCGAGTAGCTGAGGAATCGGAGAGCCGAGTTCGAACTCCAGTCGAATCCATTACATTCACTTACGTGCTAATACCCTTAGGAAAGGTAGGAATCCTCTTCGTCTCCGCCAAGTAACAGGACAGACCGGGTTCTGTAGCCTTGGATAGCAACTGGTCTGCCGTAGAAAGAAATGGCAACCTACTGCGGTAAAACATCTGCCTCGTCACTCATGTATCGAAAGATACATGATCGCGTCAGCGTGTATTACATATGGCACGTAACTGAATAAGAAGAAATAAAAAAGAAAAAATCGCTAGAAACTAGAAAAAAAGAGTACTAAACTGCTACATGATATCTGTCTACATCTATGTTAGTTAGTACCTGAAATTATCCGCAAAGCTGAAGAATAGGATTGAAG